TCAATCCATCTTGTTGAGGACCTTCCCCTTTTTCGTTGACCCTCCACTTTACCAAACATGATCTCCTTCTTCAAGGAATGGCCCCTTTTGACAACAGGACCAAAGTAGATGAGACAAAGTCTGGCCATTCTCGCTTCTAAGGAGCATTCTGGCTTCACTTCTTTCAGGACACAGGCAAGAGGTGGCTACGGGGAAGAAGTGAGAGGAGAGATGTTGCATTGTGGGAGATTACAGTCAATGTCTTGTGACAAAGTGTATGTGAACTGCTGTATGGAAGATGGATTTGCTCTGTAAAGCTTCACCTCAATCACAATAAATTAAAAAAAGAAAATGCCCAATTTACCTAAAACCTGTAGTTACAATACAACTCCCATTAAGCTTCTATTACATTAGGACTGCCTCCTGCAGGAATTTAAGACCCACATGCTTGCACACTGGTGACGCACCGTCTCCATGCCGCCCAATCTCATCAATGGAGCCAGGTGTAGGCCAGCAGCCCCAGGATGTTACATGTGCACTGGGAAGGGGCAGGTTCCATTCTCTGCAATCCACACCTGCCCTATCCCCATGTGAGTTTGCATGGGAAAAGCTCATGTGGACTGTCTCGTGACCTGCTCAAGTTGTGGATGGAGAGAGATGTTCTACCAGAGATTCCAATGAACTTGTCCAGGTTCACAATGACAAATGAATGCTAGTTTGTGAGGTACATCAAAACAGTATGATTGTCATGCACACTACCTCCAAATACTGTAATCAACTTCTAAGTGTTTTTTTCATTGCCTTTTATGCATAGAAAGGCACACTAGGTACTATATACTAAAACAAACATTGGGCTAACATTAGATACACAAACTGTTTTAACTTACATACAAATTAGTCTTAAAAGCAGATGTAGAAACCAAACTCATTTGTAATATAGTGAGTGACTCTACTGTTATCAACAACTGAATGAATAAATAAAGAGGACAGAAGGGAAAGCTATTCCTTATAGAATTCCAATGAATAAACTTAGAAGAAATGACTGGAATAGAAAATACCATTGGGTAATGACGACCAAAAACCAAAAAACAGCAAGCTTACTGACACTGAATTGATTCCCACTGACAGCAACCCCCATTGAGTTTATAAGGCTGACAATCTTTACAGAAGCAGACTGCTTCATCTTGGTTCTGAGATGGGGTTGGTGGGTTTGAACCACTGATGTTTTGGTTAGCAGTCAAATGCCTTAAACATTACACCATCAAAATTCCTTGGTGAAGACCACAGTACTAATAATTTTAGGCAATCCTTATCACTGGCTGTGAAAATTAGTATGACACAGTACTAAAAAAAAAAAAAAAAAAGGATCTTAACAATCTCAAAGTATCGCCCTATGAGAAACTACTCATAAAGGACACAACAGTCAATTTTACGATAGAAGAACAGGCGATGAAATGTGTTAAATTTGAGAAATAAGACAAAGTAATACTCTGAATGAAAACAAGATTATGTCAATAAAACCATGAAAAAATATAAAAGCACATTTCCTCAAGGCTAGTCCCTGTATCCTAATTTTATAAGAAAGGCAAAATTTTGCTTGGATTGAGAAAGTAACAAATACTGATTAGGACAGTCCCTCAGTTATACTAAAACAGTCATTTCTCCCAAAAGCACGAAGTAGTATTCATGACCCCTTCTCTGAGTTCATGTTGGCTTCTTACTCACAGAGACTTTGTTCTATACATGTAAGTTTTCAGAAATCTGCTGTCTGAAATTGTAACAATCAGGAGGAACACCCCACTTCTGTCACAAAGTATTCTCTCCACCGAGTTCCATTTATTAAGTAAAGTGTGAGGAACAATTAAGTGAAGTGTGAGAAACATTCCAGGCTTTCCACAACCTTACCTTCCTATGACCTGCCTCCATTGGGAGTTCTTCTGTTCCGTGATGGTTGAGGAAGAACTAAAATCTTTCCCACTGACATTAATAAGGCTTCTGCCCACTGTGAGATTTCACATGTCCAGTGAGCTGTGATGAACTCATAAATGGTTTCCCACATTCCTCATGTGTATAAGGCCTCTCTTAACTGTGAGTTCGCATATGGGATGTGAGGTGCGAGGCCTGTGTAAAGGCTTTCCCACATACCTTACATTCATAAGGCTTCTCTCCACTGTGAACTCGCATATGTGTCGTGAGGTTTGTGGCCTGTGTAAAGGCTTTCCCACATTGTTTACATTCATAAGGCCTCTCTCCACTGTGAGTTCTATTATGTCTGATGAGGCCTGAGTCATGAGTGAAGGCTTTGCTACATACCTTACATTCATAAGGCTTTTCTGCACTGTGTCTTTTTATGTGTTCTGAGAGGCAATAGGAACGACTAAAGGTTTTCCCACATTCCTTACATTCATAGGGCCTCTCTCCAGTGTGAGTTCTTATATGGTGAGTAAGATATGAGGAACGTTTAAAGGTTTTCCCACATTCCTTACATTCATACGGCCTCTCTCTATTGTGAGTTCTGGTATGTTTAGTTAGGGTTGACCGGTAACTAAAGGCTCTCCCACATTCCTTACATTCATAAGGCCTCTGTCCACTGTGAATGTTCATATGTTGATTGAGGTTTGATGAACACCTAAAGGCTTTTCCACATTGCTTACATTTGTAAGGCCTCTCTCCACTGTGAATTCTTGTATGTGAAGTGAGGTCTGAGGACTCTCTAAAGCCTTTCCCACATTCCTTACATTTATAGGGTCTCTCTCCACTGTGAATTCTTATGTGTCTGTAGAGGTTTGAGGACTGACTAAATGCTTTCCCACATTCCTTACATTCAAAATGCCTATCTGTCTTTTGAAATTTTGTATGAAACATCAGGGATGATGGATGACTACTGATTTTACAACATGCTTCACATTCATGTTTATGACCTCTTATTTGTGTCCAAAGAGATGAGAAACTACAGAAATCTTCATCACATTTGTCACATTCACAGCATTTTTCACCAGTGGTTGTTGTCATAGGATTCTTAAGGGTTGACATGCAAAAGTCTGTCCTGCTTACATTACATTTGTGAGGTTCCGTTCCCTTAAGAGTTCTCAGAGGAGTGGTTCGTTGAGAGGGACAATGGCAGGTGTCTCCACATTCTGTACACTGACAGGTAACGCCTGTGGCGTGAGATCTGGCATGACACTCAGGTGATGACTCATCCGTGAAGGCCGTTCCCCACACACAGGATTGAAAAGGACTGACTTCTGGAGGGTTTCTCTGTACCACAGCAAGATCTGGAACATGGTTGAAGGTTTTCCCACACTGACTGTCTTCACTACTTTCACAGAGGGTCTTTACTTTATGACTTCTGTTAAAGATAGGAAATACGTTATTGGAAAATTTGTTCTCCTTCCATAATTAGCAAACACAGTGACTGTGCATGTTTTTTGCCCTGATTCAACTCATGTTTCACAGTTAATTAATGCAGCAGAAATATTACTATTATGGGAGTTATTTTTCTAAAATATAAGGCTTTCCAGGAATTGTGTCAAAATGAAATATGTTTAAAATACTCGATACCTGTCTTACATGTATGAAATGTTGTATCATAGAAATTTTTGGAACACATAATTTTTAACTAGTTTTGTACATATAAACATATACATGTATACAAGTATATGCACATATCAGTATTTATAAGGGCTTTCAAGTGGTTTGACATGGTTCAGCAATCTCAATCTAAACAAAGGCAAACTATGTGTTGCATAGCAAGCAAATCTATTGCTGGTAAGATTTTGATCTGAGAAGGAAACAAACAGCGGTGCCCCACTCAAAGATGGCAGCCAACTGTGCCACTTTCAATGTGTGTCATGCTCCAGAGTCCTGCCACTAAGCCAATCTTCGACACAAAGCTCCTGAAATTTTCAGGATCCATGTCGGAATTGCATTCTTGCAAACACTGTGGTGAGTGATAACGCATTCAAAGCTGCATGCTCAGCTGCATCTCTGAGTGGGGCTACACTGATTTTTTCTTATTAGTTGCTGTCAACTCAGATCCAACTCACAGTGTCCCTATGTACAACAGAATGAGACTCTGCCCAGCTGTGAAACATCCTCACTATCCTTCCTATACTTGAACCCATCGTTGCAGTCACTGAGTCAATTCATCTTGTTGAGGGTCTTCCCCTCATTCGCTGACTCCCCTCCTTTACCAAGCATAATATCCTTCTCCAGGGAATGATCCCTTCTGACAACAAAATCAGAGTAGGTGAAATGAAGCCTGGTTATTCTTGCTTCCAAGGAGCATTCCGGCTGCAGTTCTTCTAGGACAGACTGCTTTGTTCTTATGGTTGTTGTTGTTGTTATGTGCCGTTGAGTCGGCCCCGACTCATAGCAACCCCTCCTTGGATTTCCGAGGCAGTATCACTGTATTTTCAGTATTCTTCGTCAACACCACAATTCAAAACCATCAACTTTTCTTCTGTTTTCCTTATTCAATGTTCAGCTTTCACATGCAAATGAAGCAACTGAAAATACTATGACTTGGGTTAGGGGCACCTTAGTCTTTAAAGTGACATTATTTATTCTTCAAAATTTAAAGAGGTCTTTTGCAGCAGATTTGCCCAATACAGTGCAACTTCTGATTTCTTGGCTACTGCTTCCACAGGTGTTGATAGTGGATCTAAGTAAAATGAAATCTTCGACAACTTCAATCTTTTCTTCATTTATCGGCCCAGTTGTGATGATTTTCATTTTCTTTATGTTGAAGCGTAATCCATACTACAGATTGTAGTCTTTAATCTTCATCAGTACTTACTTCAAGTCATCTTCACTTTCAGGAAGGAAGGTTGCATCATCTGCATATCGCAGGTTGTTAATGAGCCTTCCTCCAATCCTGATGCCATGTTCTTCATATAATCAGGCCTCTCAGATTATTTCCTCAGCATACTGCCAACCCTGACACACACACTTCCTGATTTTCAACCTGTCTCCTTTCCAGTTGTCAGCCTCCTGTATGTCTGTGCTGTCCTTGGCAGCCTTCATCAGCCTCCATTTTTTTT